TCAGACCATAGGCCCATAGGCATCCTCCAGACTGCACTTTCTATGATACTAGAAGGGATGGGGTCAGACCAAGAGAAGCTTAGAGAAGGCTGGGGCAGGGGAGGAGGCAGGGAGATCAGGGGGAGTGGGCGAGAAACAGCTTTTGGCACCAACTGTGCTTTTTCCAAAACCTGTTCCCTGACAACAAGGCTCCTACCTCAATTTGAAAAACTATAGTAAAATTCTTTCCTGCGGGCCTTCTCAGAGCCTTCAATCTGCTCAGGCATGCAGTCGGCAGCTGGGAAAAGCCACTTTTGACCACAGGATCCTTTTTCCAGGAAGCACCTTGAGGCGGAGCGTTCTGAGGAACCTCTGTGCAGGCTGTTTACACAGCAATTCCCAAAGCCTGTGGCGGGGCACCTCCTCCCTCCTGGCCTCTCTGAGTGGAGGACAGTTTAAGCCACAGAGAGGGGAGGTGATTTGCCCAACCTGGCAGCAGAGGAGAACGTACCTTGGGGCTCAAGGGCTCTGGGTTTGCAGGGGAGGGTGGGGTGGGGGGTGCTCTCCCTCGCCATTTTGATTGTGTAGCTTCAAACAAGTCACTTCACTTCTTTGTGCCTCAGTTTCTCTAAAATAGTGCCTCCCTCAGGGCTGTCATGCGGGTTACATGAATGACAGGTAATTTATCAGCACTTACTAGGTGCTTCACAGACGGTCTGGGTATAAGGGTATAAGGACCATCCGTGCTTCTTAACTGCTACGCATCTCCAGGGTACAGCTGGATGGATTATTCTGTGCCCCTCCCAGCAGTCCCTGCTCAGAGGCAACCACGATTCCGACTGTATCACTCTTGTTTCCTTTGCCTGCTCTTAAATGTCGGGTGCCCAGAATTCTACAGCATGTCCTCCTTGTGCGCCTGCTCAGCATTTTGTCGGTGGCCCCCATCTCTGTCGGCAGGTGTAGCCACCTGCTCTCTCTAGCTGTGATTTGGACCCAGGATCCCCCGGGCCCATCATCGTTTTTCTTTCTTTCTTTCAGGTCTCTACCCCTGGGCAGAGAGGGGCTGTCCACACTCGAGGCACAACTCATACCTTCCCTGTTCTTGGACAGAACACCGACAGCTGCTTCCACGGGGCCGGGAGCCAGGCCCCAGGGAGAAACCAGCCATGGGCCTTCCACAGCCTCAGCATTCGGGGGCGACACCTTAGGAGCGCAGGGGAGGCAGCCGCTGTCCGCCCCCTTCCACGGGGAAGGAGGGAGCTGAGAAGTGGACCCTGAGCCCAGGCCCCACGGGGGGCATGCACCAGCCGCTGTGAGAGCCAGAGCTCATGCCGGGCCCCCAGGGGGCTGGAGGAGCCCCTGCCATGAGCCTGGGCAAGCTCTCGCCCGTGGGCTGGGTGTCCAGCTCACAGAGCAAAAGGCGGCTGACAGCAGACATGATCAGCCCCCCACTCGGGGACTTCCGCCACACCATGCATGTGGGCCGTGGTGGGGATGTCTTTGGTGACACCTCCTTCCTCAGCAACCATGGCGGCAGCTCTGGGAGCACTCACCGCTCACCCCGCAGCTTCCTGGCCAAGAAGCTACAGCAGGTGCGGAGGGTAGGGGCGCCGCCCCGGCGGATGGCCTCCCCGCCCGCACCCTCCCCTGCTCCGCCCGCGGTCTCCCCGATCATCAAGAACGCCATCTCCCTGCCCCAGCTCAACCAGGCTGCCTACGACAGCCTCGTGGTGGGCAAATTCACCTTTGACCGCAGCCCTGCCAACTCCACGGACGGCCGCTCCAGTTACGGTGAGGGCCTGTGCTTGCTGCTTATTTTTTAGGTGCTGAGCTCCAGAGGGTTCGATGGGTCAGCCTAGCCTCCAAGTGAGCGCTCTTCCCCACATTAGTTTGGTCTCCCCATGGAGGTCAGGCCCAAACTCCAGACCGTGAGTGGGGTGGGGGTCAAGGAGTATTTGTACGCTGAGGTTGAGAGGTGAGGAGCTGGGGTTTGAGTCCCACCTGCCTCTAACTTGCCTCCCCATGTCTGGGCCCCTGGCTGAGCCAGCCCGTTCCCCCCCACCCCCCCACCCCCGTCCCCTTCAACCGAAGCAGCCCCTTTACATCAGAATGACAGAGTGGAGAGACTGGGAGTCTGGGCTCTGGGATTAAAATCCTGCTTCTACCTGATTTCCAGCAAGCCGACTGCCCTCTGTCAGGTCAAGTCCTGACCTGTATAATGGGTGCATTAGGGTCATTGCTGAGACTCAAGAGATGTGATATGTGTATCAGGCGTGGCCCAGAGTCGCACACAGTAGGTGCTCGGGACATAGGAGCTGTTGCTGTGTTGTTGTTACTTGAACAGAAGTTCCTGTGACTTGACCAGTTTGGAAAAACCACTCCCAGAGACAGAAGCCAGAGGTCCCTCTTGCTGTGGTTGGGGAGTGGTGGGTGCTTCGGTCCTTCCGCTGTGCTGCTCACCTGGGAACCGGGGCCCCTGCTGCCACCTGGTGGCCATTCCCGGCCCGTGGCTTTGCCTCACTGCCAAGGGCCTCCTCCCATGCTCGGCTCCCTGAGGGCTGCTCAGAGCTCCCCTGGGGGCTGGTCCACAGTAAGCACACCGGGCCTCGGGCATGGCAGTCCTGGAGCCAGAGGGTGGAAGAGGTCCTTTGCAGGGCATCTGCCTGTCCTCTGAGTCTGTGATTTCTGTGCAGTCAGACCCTGGCTGCTGGTTCCATCCCTGTGCCCACAAACCCGCCCACGCGCTGTGGGTTTGCTGCAACCCTTGGCCCCTGTCATGGAAGGGGACTAGCGACCATGACCCTCAGTTGGACTGAGAGGAGGTTTGAGCTCCAGGCTTGGCTCCACCCCTTCAGAGTCTGTGACCCTGGGGCAAGCCTTTCCCCTTGTCCCAAATTGAGTCTTACTTTCTTCATCTACAAAATGGGAATGAGGACTGTGTCCATTTTCCACTTCTAGGCTTGATAGGAAGATCCTGTGAGAGACTCCAGGGTTCACTATATTGGAAAGGGGAGAAACTGAGGCCAGATGCGAGAGTGACGTGTTAGAGGTCACAGAGCAAGCTGGCTCTCCCCAATTCCTGGTTGGGGACCCCAGCTATGACCCTGCTCCCCATTTTTATTTTTTTCCAGGCGTGGACTCTGGGTTCTGCACTATCTCCCGCCTGCCTCGCCAGGAAAAGCCTCGTGACCGAGACCATGATAATACCTTCCCCTCTGAGTCCGGGCTTCGCCGCTCTGACTCCCTTCTGTCCTTCCGCCTGGACCTCGACCTTGGGCCATCTCTCCTCAGTGAGCTGCTGGGGGTCATGAGCCTTTCAGAAGCCTCTGCTGCTGAGACCCCAGCCCCTGCCACAAGTCCCCCCGCCCCTGCTGCCGGTCCCCCAGCCCCTGCCTCAAGACCCCCGGCCCTTGCCACAAGCCCCCCAGCCCCTGCTGCAAGCCCCCAGCCCCGTGGACACTGCCCCAATGGGGTGACCGCTGGGTTGGGCCCAGTGGCTGAGGTGAGGGCCAGCCCAGTGGAAGAGTATCCCTGTGCACCTGCTGGCGTGGCCCCTGGCAGGCACCGGGGAGCAGGCTGGGGGGACAACCAGGGCAGCCGCCACTACCCTGGGAGAGATGCCTGGAGCCAGGAGCTGGGGGGAGTGCTGCCCCAGGCTCGGGCTTCTTGGGAGAGCCTGGATGAAGAGTGGGGTGCACCCCAGGCAGGCAGCAGGGCCCCAGTGCCCAGCACAGTGCAAGCAAACACCTTCGAGTTTGCTGATGCTGAGGAGGACGATGAAGTCAAAGTGTGAGTGGCCGGCCATGGGCTCAGGACCCTGCCGGGGCTCAGGGCACTGCCAGGAACAGCCCAGGTGCAGAGGCAGCACCTGATAACTAGGTCCTGCCCATGATCGATGGGAGAACGCAGTTGCCCCCCAGCCCCTCCACCCCTCTGCAGGACAGACATGGGAGGGAGGCCAGAGGAGACCAGGCTTGTTCTCATTCCTGCTGGGCTGCCTTGCCCAGCCCCCTTGCCACTCTGGACCCACAGCCATTCCTTAGGCCCACCCCCAACCCTGTGCCACCCCCACTGATTGGAGGGCCCAGCCTCACAGTGCAGCTTTTGTGCTGGAAAAACTGTCCTTGCTGGGGGTGGGGGGGGCACGGGGTGCATACCACACAGGGCCTTTGTCTTCTCTCCCAAAGGGACCGCCTGCCCCAGCCCTCCTAGAGCTGCCCCCAGCAGGGTCCCTGCCGCATCCCCGAGAGCCCCAGCCCTTGCTAAGGCTGCTTCCCCAACATTCCAACCCTAACCCCTGACTTATCCCAGAAGTCTCAGAGAAAAGTCAGGTGTGACCTCACAGGGGAGGAATCCCACCTTCCTGTGCACCCCAGACCTGCTTCCGGGTCCTGATTAAAAAAGGCTTTTTGATAAAAGGTGTCCTGCAAGATGCTTGGGGACCTGGGAGAACAGGGTCAACTCCACCTGCTTAAATAGCCTCCCATCATGTTCGGAAAACCAAAGAATCGCCCCCCCCCCCCCCCCCCCGCCAACCCACACCCCCAGGGCCCCCAGTGAGGGGAGGGGCTGAGGCAGAGGGTAATGAGTAACCAGGCTGGAATGACTGTTCCAGCGATAAAGAGGCCCAGGTGGGAGGCTTATCTACAGTTCCTGGAACAGCCCCTGGCCCAGGTGCCTGCAACCAGTGCCTGCCCTGTAATCCCACAGGGCAGCCGTGGGTGCTGGGAGGTGTTTGGGAGCACGTCCCAACCCCCACCTCGAAGCCCTATGATCTCGTGCCTCAGTTTCCTTCTCTGTATCATGAGGATGCTGGGGGCATGACAATGTATGGAAAACACCGGCCACAGAAAGACTGGATAAAGGCGGGTTCTTTTTGTTTGTTCTTCACTTTAGTGGAGGCGAGTAGGGTCCCGGGGGCAGGAACTGCTGGGCAGCTGCCGGTCCTGTGTGACTGGGTAGAGAAGCTTCAGGGAGGGCATCTGTACCCGGGGTCTTCACTCCGGTGAAGGGCTATCCACTTAGTCAATCTTGAAGGAGGAGACATTCAACCCGCCTTGCACGCTCAGGTAGCTCAGGTGGCTGTCGCCCAGCCTGTTGGGAAAAGTAAACTGGTGCCCATCTGGCAGCTTCACTTTGAATCCGTCATTCCCAAAGGTCACGGTGATCTGTGGTGGGAGGGAAGGTGTCAGGGAGGCAGGAGGCCCCGGAAGTGGGCCCGGGCAGCTTGAGGAGGCTCAAACAGTGCCAACACGTGTCTAGGCCAGGGGGCCCTCCCCTCGGGGCTCTCCCATGGACATGCTCCTCAGGCGCCTTTCCCCTTTGACCTCACCTTGACTTCTGACCCTGGGCTGAAGCACATGTGACCTTCCCGTTGCTCCTGCCCCCAGTTGCCATCCCATGAGTTGCAGATGATGGCAGAATCATGGAAGCGTGGGTTGAAATGCAGGTTCAGCTTCTCTGACCCCTGGCCCAGATTAATCACAAATCTGCAGGGAAAGGGGTAGCAAGTCAGGATGGGGGGCCAGCGCTGGATAAAAGTGCTTGGGTTGACCCCAAGCTGAAAGAATCATGAAAGAAAGATGTTAATTGAGGCCTGTGCCTTAAGACAAGGGAGGTGACAACCTGGTCAGACCTAGCACGCGGGAGTACCACATTCCATTTGGCACCTGGACTAAGGCTCTCAACAGGAGGGTCACTGAGAGTGACAGTCTCAGGAATCGGGGTACCTATCCTGGGGGAGAGAATTGCTGTCCTTAGATATTTGGAGGCCTGTTGAGTTTGGCCATAAACAGTTAAGCTAAGGTGGTGAGCTCCCTGTCATTACAGGTATTCAATCGGGTTGTGTGACTTCTTGACAGGATCACTACAGCCTGGGTTAGATGGTCAAGGCCCCTGAGAGTAGGACACTCTGAGTCATGAATAGGGTGCCTTCAGGGGGAGGTCTCAGAGCAGAGGGATTACAAATGTCTGTAAACTTGAACCCAAGTAAGAGAAAGGGGTGACTCTGCTCTTGGCTCCTACCCCCTACATCAGCCTGCCCTCGCCAACCAAAGATTCGTGGAGAGCAGCCCCAAGAAATTCTATACCCGTTCGGCACACAGGTAGAGCCCGATGCTGAGCTGTAACACGGGAGGGGCAGCGCCGCTGGTTCTAATGGAGAGGATGCAAGTGAGAGCCCCCCTTGGCGCCCCCTGGTGGCTGTCTCTGGGGTAATGCGTATGAAAGGCTGGCCTCTGCCCATTCAGCCGGGTTAAGAGAGTGATGGTGGGGAGGCGTGGGCTTTCAGTAGAGACACCTGACCCACAGGGGGCTGGGCAGAGCTCCAGGGGCTTCTCCACCTGCCTCCTCAATGTTTTTGGGGGCCACGGAGCTGAGCATATAGCATGAGCTGTGAAATTCTGAGGGTCCCAAACACCCTCAGCCATGAAGGCAGGCCCCCTCCTGTGAGGGGCGCGGGAGGGTGTGGGAACCAGCAAGGATGTTAAAAAGGCCCGTTTGGACCGGGGTCGCTCTCCTCTGTGTCCATCTCACAGGGCTGCCCTGCCTGCCTGCCCGCCCCCCCCTGCTTCCAGGCCTGTTCCAGGCCTGTGGACAGCTCCCCTGTCCCCTTCTGTCCCACCCCACCCCCCCACCTCCCGCCTCTCCTCTTGCTCACCCATCAGCATCACTGGCAATCTTGCCCTTGATCTTCAGGGTGGTCCCCAACTTCATGTCCATGTTTGTCATCTCCAATTTTTCCTGTGCCAACCGAGAAGCATTCCATAAAAAGCCCATCACAAGCATGCCCAGAGCCCTTCTGCCGGTGGAGCCCATTCACACGCCGCAGGTCGCACTCCCCCTCTGCGCACTCGAGGGCACTGAGCTGGGAAAGGTTCCCCCATCGTTAATATAAGAGATTTGGACTGGGTGGTCTCTGGAGAAGAAGGAAAGAGCGGGCAGGGATGGGATGAGTGGAGAAGCAGAAAGTGGGTTGGGAAGGTCTCTGGGCCACAGAGCTCCTCTGAGAGGGGAGGGCTGGACAGCATCATCCCTGCCACACTTGACCCCACCCGTGGCATTCACATCCTGCATCCTATCTGTGCCAGCTTGAACGGTGTCTCCCAAAAAGTTATGGCCACCTGACACCCGTGGACATGACCTATCTGGAGATAAGGTCTTTGCAGATGTAATCAAGATTTGTTTAGGGTAGACCTTAAATCCAATACACCTGGCATCCTTATAAGCAAAGGGAAAAGTGGACCCAGAGACACAGACACACAGAGGTGAAGGCTCTGTGAGGACAGAGGCAGAGAGGGGAGAAGTGCAGCCACAACCAAAGACTGCCGCGAACCGCAACCACCGGAAGCTGGAAGAGAAAAGAAAGGATCTTCCCCTGGAGCCTTCAGAGGAAGAGTGGCCCTGCCGACCCCTCGATTTCAGACTTCTAGCCTCTAAAACTCTGAGAGAATAAATGTGTTACAGTGACCACGGGGAACTAAGACACCTTCTGATCCTCAGATGCCATCTGTGATCCAGTTGCCCAAATGCGGGAGACGGAGGCTCAGAGAGGGGCAGTGACTTGTCTGAAGCCACACAGCAGTGACAGAATCGGGGACCGCAAAGGGATCCACTCAAACTCCTGCGTTTAACAGATTGTGACCTTGGGCAACATCCTCCCCGAGCCTCAGTTTCTTCATCTTTATAAAGCTCAGTAGAGGGGCGCCTGGGTGGCTCAGTTGGTTAAGCATCTGCCTTCGGCTCAGGTTATGATCCCGGGGTCCCGAGTTTGAGCCCCAGCTCAGCAGGGAGTTTGTTTCTCCCGCTGCCCCTCCCCCTTCCCCTGCACATGCTCTTTCTCTCAAATAAATAAAATCCTTTTTAAAAAGCCCGGGAAGGGGCGCCTGGGTGGCTCAGTTGGTTGGGCGACTGCCTTCGGCTCAGGTCATGATCCTGGAGTCCCGGGATCGAGTCCCATGTCGGGCTCCCTGCTCGGCGGGGAGTCTGCTTCTCCCTCTGACCCTCTTCCCTCTCATGCTCTCTATCTCTTATTCTCTCTCCCTCTCAAATAAATAAATAAAATTAAAAAAAAAAAAAAAAGCCCGGGAGGGCGCCTGGGTGGCTCAATCAGTTAAGCGACTGCTTTCGGCTCAGGTCATGATCCTGGAGTCCCGGATCAAGTCCCACATCGGGCTCCCAGCTCAGCAGGGAGTCTGCTTCTCCCTCTGACCCTCCCCCTTCTTGTGCTCTCTCTCTCTCAAATAAAAAAATAAAATCTTTAAAAAAAATTTTAAAAACCCGGTAGGTGTTGACAATTATTATTATTCCTAATATTATTATTATTACGGACGAGCAACTGAGTCTAGAGGGGGGAAGAGGTAGGTTCACGTTCCCGCAGCAGGGTGGTGGTAGAGAGAGCAGAGAACATCCATGCTAGAGGGCGGTGGAGGCCATCTGTCCTCCTCGGTCACTATACGGATAGGGAAACCGAAGCCCAGGGAGGGCCGGTGACACTTTTCTCCAGCCCCCCTCCCCACCAAGTCGCCCCACTCAGGCAAAGATGTGGGGAATGGAGGAGGTGAGCCGTGGGGAAGCCGGCTTCCTCACCGACATGGTGGCAGCTCCTGGCCGCAGTTCTTGGTGGCTCCTGGAGGCCTGGGCTCCAGATCGCGCCTCACAGCCCAGTTTATATTCTAGAATATTACACATTAACTCCCTCAAGGCCATAAATGGGGACTTTGGTCCCTTCTGCCCCCGTGTCTCTCCACCAGCATCTCCTAGTACCCAGAACAAACGGGTGGGAGGCTCCTCACCTGGGCGCACCCAGCCCAGCCCAGCCCAGAGCATCCTCCCGACCTCCCTGCCCCCAGCCTCCCACCCCGTCCCAGTCCAGCCCCAGCTGAGTGTCAGAGCCAGCACAAACACCATGCGAGCTTGGCAAGCCACCTGCGGTCCTGAGTTCTGCTTCCTCATCCTCAAGCACAGAGACTCGCTCTGCAAAAAACCTCGAAGCTTCTCATTTTCTCTGATGTCAAGCTTCATTCCGAGAGCTCTCTGTTTTGTTTTCTCCCCTCACCCCATGATTTTTCTGATTGTACGTGTAAGTTTTAAAAAGCAATACATGGTGGATTCAAGGAAAACATCTAGAAGTGCCTATAACAAACTGTTAAAATCAGAGAAGGGAGGGGAAGGGCTGAGGTGGGGGCAGTACTGGGGATTTAAATGCTTTGATCTTCTGTGACTTACATCACTGGCTCACGCAGGCAGTTCGAGATATGAAGTATGAAAAACGTCAGAAACAAAGCAAGCGCTCCTAACCCTCCCACCAGAAGGAAACCTGCTTTCTCTACTGGCTCATTTCCCTCCTCACAGTTTTCTGTGGGTTCATATCACAGACAGCCCTCTGTGCAGTTGCCTACCCTGCTTCATTCAGTAAACATTAAAGCCCACAAATCTGTATTTCACAATGATAGTGCAATGGCAGTGAACTATTCCACCTTCCAAGAACTAAATTTATTGGACCAATTTCCTTCTGCTGAACACTTACATTAGTTCTAAATGTTTGCTATTAAAAGTACTGCTGCATTCAATCTATTTGCATATAAAGTTTGACTGCGTCCTGACAACATATTTAGGGTGGATTCCTGGAAGCGGGATTTTTCTAGAACCCTAGTTTGGCATGGTTTCCATCAGAGCTGGTAGTGGTCACTCTGGAAGGGGTGCGGAGAGGCCAGCCCTGCAGAGAACCCTCCAGTGCCAGGACCTGACGGGTGGCTTGCTGCCCGGTGCTCACAGAGGACACCGCCTCCAGGCCCCTGCCCACCCCAAGAGGACAGTGATTTCCTCATTTTAAGCCACAAGGAAATCAATCCGTTCTCGGCCTCCCTCCCAGGGCTGTGATAAAGCCCAAGCAAGATAAGGAGGTTTCAGGTGCTTTATACACAGAAAAGCCCCTAATCAACAGAAACTGCACCTCGTAAAGGTGGTATTTTTCTGATTATAGCAGTAATTCTAGCTCACTATAGAAGGTTTCGATAAGTGCACAAAGTAGAAAGAATTTACAAGTTCACTTGCTTTAGAAGAATCTTTTAAGATTTTATTTATTTATTTGACAGAGAGAGACACAGCGAGAGAGGGAACACAAGCAGGGGGAGTGGGAGAGGGAGAAGCAGGCTTCCCGCTGAGCAGGGAGCCCGATGTGGGGCTCGATCCCAGGACCCTGGGATCATGACCTGAGCCGAAGGCAGACGCTTAACGACTGAGCCACCCAGGTGCTCCTAGAAAAATCTTTAAAGATGGGAGCACATGTTCACGAATTGGATGCTTTTCTGTGTATGCGTGTTACCTCAATGAAAGGTTTTTTAAAAGAAAGAAAGAAGGAAAGGAAGGGAGGGAGGGAAGAAAGAAAGAAAAAAGAAAAAATCAAAATCACCAAAGAAAAGAAAAAAAATCAAAATCTCCAGCCTTGTTCTCTTAGTAACACCTGCCTTCTGGGGCATCTGGGTGGCTCAGTCAGTTAAGCATCTGCCTTTGGCTCAGGTCATGATCTCAGGGTCCTGGGATCGAGCCCCGCATCAGGTTCTCTGCTCTGCAGGGGGTCTGCTTCTCCTCTCTCTGTGCTCTCTCTCTTCACTCTCATAAATAAGTTAATTAATTAAAATAAAACAAAGCCTGCCTCCTAAAGGGTACTCTACACTTTACAGAGCACTTTATCCAGCCCCCATCACAGTAAACTCAACAAATTTTCAAGATGATCTTTATTATGATCCCATTTTTCAGATGGGGAAGGAAGGGTCCCATGCAAGGAGTAAGAGGCAGAGCTTGCCTTGTCTACAAACCTATGGCTCACTGCCCTCACTTAGCAAAGGGAAGAGTCGCCCTCCAGAAGGATGTCCTTTGTGTGACACACAGCCTTGCTCATGATGTCCAGTGATCCCTACCTCCTGGTATTCACACCCTCGTATATTGACTCCCCTTGAGTGTGGCTGGACCCAGAGACTTTCGCCTAACAAAGAATATTAGAATAGGGCAAAAGTGCCCGGGTGTCACTTCCAAAATTAGGTACTGAAAAGACTGATTACAAAAAGAGACATTAGAAAAGACTGTCCCCTCTCCCTCCCTCCCTTCCTCCCTCCTTCCCTCTCCCTCTCTCTGCCCTAACTCTGGGGGAAGCAAACAAGCCACTTATGAATAGTCCTACAGACGAGGCCCATGTGCCAAGGAACCGATGTCTCCAGCCAACAGCCAGTAAAGACCTGAGGCTCCCTGACAGCCAGATGAGTGAACCTGGCAGTGGAACCCCCCCTCCCCACCACCGCCGACTTAAGCCGTGGGATGGCTGAGGTCACCAACACCTGGACTGCAGCTTGTGAGAGACCCAGAAAAGTCCTGTCTGGATTCCTGAGCACAGAAGCTGTGAGAAACCTATTTCTAGTTTTATGTCTCTCCATTCAGGTGAATAACTAGTACACTCGGCCAAGCGATTACTACCAAAAGCTCGGGGTGAGAAATAATATCCCCGAAGGCCTCCCCACTAAGGAATCTGCGGTCCGGCGTGTCCCTGGACATTCCATCATACTGGTCTTTTTAAAGACCCAGCCCCTGGTTTTGTGTCCTTAATTCCTCGCTTTATGCCCTATTAGCTCTTTCTCTTGGTGTTTCTTTTATTGCTCTTTTTCTCGCTTCTCAAGTTGAATGTTCAGTTCATTCATTTTTCATCTCTTTTTACTCACAAATGCATTTGAGGCTATAAATTTCCCTCACTGCCTCCTTGGCCACTTCTCCAACAGTTTTGTTGTTGTTTTGTTTTGTTTTGTTTTTTAAGATTTTATTTATTTATTTGACAGAGAGATAGCAAGAGCAGGAACACAAGCAGGGGGCGTGGGAGAGGGAGAAGCAGGCTCCCCGCAGAGCAGGGAGCCCGATGTGGGACTCGATCCCAGGACCCCGGGATCATGACCTGAGCCGAAGGCAGACACTTAACAACTGAGCCACCCAGGCGCCCTGTTTTGTTTTGTTTTAAGATTTTATTTATTTATTTATTTGAGAGAGACCGAGCAGGAGGGAGGAGCAGAGGGAGAGGGAGAGGCAGACTGCCTGCCGAGCAGGGAGCCCAACACGGGGCTCAATCCCAGGACCCCGAGATCATGACCTGAGCCGAAGGCAGATGCTTAACTGACTGAGCCACCCAGCCACCCCACTTCTCAGAAGTTTTAAGATGTTCTGCTCATATTCCCGATGTTACCTTGAACCGAAGCCGGATGATCAGAATGTTGTTCTCAGCACTCAGGTCACGCTTAATAACTATTTGGGGACTGACCTACTGAAGAGCAAACTCGCCATCCCCATCATCACCGGGGAAGGGTTGGAAAATAAAATATCACAAATACCCGCTATGTTCACGACGCTGCCCAAATAGAAATGAACTATCATACAGCCATCAAAGGTCACATGTTGGGGGGCCGCTGTAAGGGGCAACAGCGAGAAGCAGCCAAAGAAAAGCTGCTAATGTGGACACCTCCAGGGGGCCAAGAAGGACACAGGGTCTCCGTAATGTGACGCAAGCACCTACAACTTTATTCAGAACACAGGGGATTGAGGGCCTCCGTAGAAGAAAAGTATAAAATACAGTCGGGCCCTAAAGAGATCAAGCCTAAGCAGGGAGACAAGCTTGAGCCCAGGAAACAACCAGAAAACGATGTACTACGCCCCCTCCCCCAGTGGAAGGCTGCAGAAAGTTCCAGACTCCTGGGGCAGAAGGGGTCCTCAGATGTCATTTGCAGGACAATATGGAACTGGAATTTGGTTCTACCACTTGCCAGCTATGTGACCTCGGGCCCAGTTACTTAACCTCTCAGATCGATCTCTTCCTCTGTAAAATGAGAACAAAAGTGTTATAAGGATTAAGGGAGATAACACCTGGAGTTTTGTTGATAGTTTACAGATATTATTTGTTATTATGACCAGGAGCCCAGTGCCCCACCTGTGTTGGCTGTGAGGAAGGTAACTGCCCCCACCCCCACACCCGGCAGCTGCGTGAGAACCCTCAGGCTCAACCCTCAGGCCTACAGGAATGTTCTCCTGACAACCTCCCAGGGCCCCATTATGACTTTTGTGAGCCCAAGGTACTTCTGCCTTCATGGGCCCCTTCCTGCAGTAACTACACATATTTTTATATACACATGCATAAACACACACACACATATATCATTATATTTTACACCACACTGAATGAATATGTCAATGTTATATATTAATGCACCTGAAACTAATAAAACACTGCAACCTATACTGAACTTTTTTTTAAAGATTTTATTTATTTGACAGAGAGAGACACAGCGAAGAGAGGGAACACAAGCAGGGGAGTGGGAGAAGGAGAAGCAGGCTTCCCGCGGAGCAGGGAGCCCCACGCAGGGCTCGATCCCAGGACCCTGGGATCATGACCTGAGCCGAAGGCAGACGCTTAACCGACTGAGCCACCCAGGCGTCCCTGAACTTTTTTTTTTTTTTTAATGTTATATATCAGGGGCACCTGGGCGGCTCAGTGGGTTGAGCGTCCGACTCTGGATTTCAGCTCAGGTCATGATCTAGGGGTCGTGAGCTCGAGCCCCGTG